TTGATTCCGACAGCGCTCATGGGCAAAGCCCAACATCGTCTTCCGCTCGCGGCGCCTTATCGGACCGTGTGTCCGCGGCATCGAGGGATGTAAATCCTTTGCTCGATGAGCCCGAGCGTCGCGCTCCACGCACGCTATCAGTAATGAATGACCTCGTTGAGGATGTGGAGGAGGCCGACTACGAGTCGGACACTCCTTTTACGGGGGGAATGAAGATGATCCCCTGTCGACATATCTAACTTGGTGCCGAGCACCTTGAAGATAGTCGACCAGAATTCCCCGTGAAACAGGGGCCTCTATCAGAGACAATCGACTCTGGGAGTCCGTGTTGTCGAAATACACGATCGACAAACAGCGTTGCTGTACCGACTCCGTCGATGGTGTCTGGCACCGCCGCCAAATGAGCCATCTTGCTCAACCAGTCGACGAATACCACGACATCCGTGTTGCTCGCCGAATCTTTTGGCAGGCCAAAGCAAAGTCCAAACTGATGGACTGCTAACACCTAGTGGGTACCGGAAAGCTGGTCAGCGGTGCAGCCGCATTTGGAGAGGTTTTCACCCGTTGACACGTCTCACACGTACGCACATAGGTGCTCGTCCATTTGTACAGCTTGGACCACCGATAGGTGTGGCTCACAGAGCTGTACGTTCTCTCAAGACCGAGATGACCACTGAGTGGCGTGCCGTGAGCCTCATAGAAGATACGATATTTCAAATTCTCATTACGAGGAACCACAATTCGTGGTGTATTCGTTGAATCGGTGCTTTAATATAGCAACCCATTATTCAACGAATATCTGTGCAAATGTGCACGCAGTCTTGATGACGATTTCTTGTCCGAGTTTTCAACCTCTTTGCTCCCTAGAGCCCGTAGCAACTCCACACACATCCCATCACCCGCATACGCGGTGCGGATCAAATCTGTCACAGATGACATTATAGTTGTAACATGAAGAAGCTCATAGTCTGGTCTGCGTGACAATGCATCAACCAAAGCATTCTGCTTGCCCGGCTTATACTTCATCTCAAAGTTATACCCCGCGAAGAAATATAGCCATCTAGCCATCCTCTGCAAGAGGTAGGGCGACTGAGTCGCAGTGCGTAACGACGCATGATCTGTGTAGATCACAAACAGCTTGAAGCCGAGCAGGTGGACCCTGAACCTGACAAATGCATACTTCATCGCAAGTAGCTCCTTGTCATGAACTGGGTATTTCTTCTCTGCAGCTTTGAGCTGTCGAGATTCGAACGCGATCACCCGATCTCGCCCCT